ACCTCAAGACTAATATTGAGAATGCTGAGGAGGTGAGGTGAAATAGAGATTATGTTGGCAGTTTAACAGGTCTGAATGTGAAAGAAGAATCAATAGATTAGTTAATTGGGACACACAAAGAAGCTCGTTGGGAGAGATGACTTCTAAGAATATTTCTAGCTCTAAATCAACGATTCTAAGAACAGAGAGGCACAAACAAAGTAGGCAACGCAAACATAGTTGTTCAACTAGAGAATGGATAAGAGCACTAGCTTTGGAGCTGATGGATCTATGTGCAAACCCCAGTTATAGTTACACAGTTTGATAGCTGTGTAATCTCTGAGTTTCAGGTTCTTATCTGTAATTTGGTGATAGGAGCACCTACGCTGCAGTCGTTGTACAGATTAAGTCAACTGAGATTACTTAAATAAAGCCCTTAGTTAAGCATTTGACACATAGTAGGTACTTAGTAAATGACAGCTTCTCCATTTCTCTTCAACTGCTAAACTCCTTCCCATTCTTTACTCAAGAGCCATTCAAAAATATTTACTGAGTGCCTACTTTGTGCCTGGAATTGTTCTAGGCACTGGGACTGCACCAGCAGATAAACCAGCAAAAATCCAGTCCTCAAGGAGATTGTATTCCTCAATTACAGCTCAATTCTTCCAAGTTTCGGTTAGAAACCACTGACTTTCTGTTTCTGTTTTCTCCATCAGGGCATTTACTATACTGCAGTGCTACTGCTTTCCTAACCCCCTCTCTTCCCAAAGAGTGGGCACACCATGTGGGCAGACTCCATGCCTGTCCTGGCACCACTGTACCATCATGTCCTAACATGGTGCATAGTGTGTAACAGATGTCCAGTAAATATTTGCTGAATGAATCAACGATGGATAGAGGAACAGATGAATATTGAAAGTTAGCTGCTATTCACTGTTCCTGGTTTGCTCTATATCCCACTTCCTCTAAGCCAAAAAAAAGGGCTTAGTTTTATCCAGAGTCTTTACTTCTTAGTGAAATCTGGAGATTCTATACAGACCCAAGTAGCATGGTGCCCAGTGCAGAAGCACTTGGCAGTCAAGTTTAGAAACAGAAGCATCCTTGCTCCTTCTTCCCAGCCAGACACAAAAAGACCTGGCCATGTACCTCATGATGCCAGACTTCCAAGAGTGGGTCTCAGGAAGGGACTGTGGGTTGGTGGCCTGTGAGTTGTAATCCTGCCTCCTACCTCCTGTATCTTGAACCGTAGCCAGCTTGGATGCATGTCTGAGCTCTAAAATTCTGCCTTTGCATTATTAGAGCAGGAGGTGGTATGGTATTGTGGTTGAGAAGGTGGAATTTGGAATTAGACATGGGTTTTAAACCTGGCTCTGCCACTACCAGCTGTATTAGGTTGGATAAGTCACTCTTCTGAGCTTCAGCTGCCTCAGAAATATGTGTCAGGCACTTAAAACAGAGTCAATGTTCAATAAGTGGTTATTGGTATTGTTATTATTATCGTTATCATAATTATTCACAAACTACACCTTTCACTAGGCCATCCAGAACTGGTGAGGTCCATGCTGGGTACTGATTCAGAGATAAACAATCTCTGCTGAGTCCCTTTTACTACCAAAAAAAAAAAAAAAAAGTCACCTAAGAACAACTCCTATCCACAGAGAAAAGCTTCATATGTTGTCCCCTCATTTTACAGATAGAAAAAATAAAGCCCCAAAAGGTGATGCAATGTGTCTTCATGTCACATAGTGAGTTAGAAGCAGGGCCAGCACTGGTTCCGTTTTCCTCTGTCAGTGTCAGTCCTCACTCAATTCAGAGGCTTCCACTTAAGGGAGACAGTCCCCATTTTTCCCTTGTACCGGCCAAAAGCAATCAGTCTACGAGAAGCATCCATTGGGTAAGCACAGAAGCCTCTCCCTTCATCAATGTCATACCTTGGGAAACTATCTCCAGTATAGATAACAGAAAGAATAAATATTTTTGTTGAGAGAAAAAATGAAGACAAAGGTCAAAGGGAATCATGTAATGGGTTGAGTCAGGGAAGAAAAAGAAAGCATTTTTTTTCTCTCTCCTCTTTTTCTCCAAAACAGTCTTTATATAGAACTTGTCTAAGAGCCAATTTATTTGATATGGAAAAAATGTGAGAGCAGTAAAATACACACACACACACACACACACACACACACAAACACACACACACACAAAGAGGTATTTGTGTTGGAGTTTAGAACTCGATTTACCAAGAGATAAAGGAGCTGAAATGATAGGTTGACTTGGAATGATATTTTATTTTTTCAGAGTCTCAGAGAACTTTCAAGTCAGGAAGTGGAGCCTGGCCCAGCCCAGGTCTCCAATAAATTCCTTGGGACTCGAGAAAGACAAAGAGGGAGGTCAATGAAGGCCTCAGTCTAGACCTTGTGCCTGCAACACAGTGGGGACCAAAGAAACATTTGTTGAGAATGAAAGAACAAATGGTACACAATGTAGACCTGAATAGTGGTGGTTTTGGAAGCAAACTGGCATAGGAATTGGCATTTTTACCAAGTGGTTAAGGTCTTCAGCACTAAAGTGTGAGTGTCTACAGGAAAGTGGCAAGGGCTGAGTCATCCCTGAATCTACAGATCTCAGCGCAGACTCTGGCACACAGAATGTTCTCAATACAAGCTTGTAAATTGAATGAGTAGTCACTCGTATGAGTAAAGAGACCTTGGAGATTCCTGGGCCTTAGAGATCATTTAGAGCAGTAACCATTAAACTTCAACCACCATCAGAATCATCTGGAAAGGTCCTGTACTCAGAGTTTCTGATTCAGTCGTCTGGGCTGGGACCTAAGAACATGGCTTTTCTAAATTCTCAGATGCTGCCAGTACGGGGCCACACTGTGAGAGCCTGACTTAGTGCAGTGGTTCTTAAACTTGGCTGCATGTTAGAATCATCCAGTGAGATTTTAAAGTCCTAATGGTTAGGCCTTATCTTCCTTACCGATTAGATCAATACCTGGGGCAGGACCAGGAGGAGGAAGGAGGAGGGGATGCAAGTGAGCTGGAGGTGATTTTAAAATGCCCCCAATTTTTGTAGCGTGCAACTGACTTTGAGAACCACTAGTCTAGTACAACTTCCTCCTTATGGATTGAAGGCCTCTGAGCACCGGAAAGAGTGACTAGCCTAAGAATGCACAGCAGTCTGGTGACTTAGCTGAGGACAGAGCTCAGGGTGCTTTTCCTTCTTCAGTTTAATTTCCACAGTTCCACACTTATCAACCTGCGTCAGCGCTCACAGGCTCACAACTCAAGGCTGAAAAAGAAAAGCTGGGTTTAAGCTGAGGTTTTAAGGCACCTATTATTTCTTCACCTCATTGTTTTATACAGAAATGTTAAGTGGATGCATATTTATAGAACTTTACCATTCTAGACAAGTGACGAGATGGAAGAGACAGGGTTACAGAATATTTTCAAGGCAAGACGATCTTTTAAGCACGTTCTCAAACACAAACCAAGTGCTCCCCCTGAGTTCTTACACAGGTGTTCTCCATCTCTGAGTCAATGAATGGGTAAGGCTTTGCTTGCGATGTGCACGTTAATTACCAGCATTGTAACAGGAAGTGCTGGTAAAGTGTTTGAAAGTGGTTCTGTCTTTTAGAAAGATTAAAAGTTTCCTCCAGAACTTGGTTTCTATTAATAATATTTGGCTTAGCAAATATTTTCAAGTAGACAGAGCAGAGATTGTGTCTTGTATCATCTTAGAACCAAAGAAAGTGCCACAAAAGGCCCACAGAAACCATTGACTTCAACATTTTCATCACACGGAAGAGGAAATCAAACCTCAAAGAGATGGACTGATTTAGCTAACATTAGTAAGCGGACTGGCTGGGGCTAGACACAAGGTGTCTGACTCTTGAGCTATTGTTCTTTTCAATAGTCAAAGTGTTCCCCACCCATGTCACTTGTACATAGAAGAGGTTCAACCAATGTTTGGTGGTTGACTTCGTAGACTCTTGGTACCCAAATTAGATGTAGCTAAGGCTCTCTCATTTGTTAGATTAAAGCAGAAATTGGAATCACGTCCTTAATTGAACAGTGGTTAAGTGCACTGGCTTAGGAGTCAGGATGAATTCCAGTCCTGATCTCACCACTTCCTAAGTATGTGATCTTGGACAAGTGACTTCCTATCTCTAAGATACAGTTTCCTTCTTTGTAAAATGAGAAGGAGACTAGGGCTGTGGTTGTGGGGAGGATGAAATAAGTAAAAGATGCAAAGACCTTAGCCCATTGTCTGGCATATGGGAAAAGCACTAATGGCTTCAAAGTAAGGCAGCCCCTCTCATAAAACATAAATCCTCAGGATATCTGAGGAAGAGGACATAGAGAGGTGGACTGAGAAAGGAACATTAAGGACAAACAGTATCTCACATCAAAGCAATGAGTACCCGAAAAGAATCATGGAGACCTAGAGCTGCAAAGGCTCCTAAGGATCCAATGGGTATGACCCTCTCTTCCACACTGGAAAACAAGGACTGTTACTGGTTATGTTCACCTTCCAGCAATATTCTTATGCAAATATCCAGGAACATGCCCAATTCCCAGCCAACCTGCTATAACTTCACCCCCTTCTCACCCACTGGAAAAGCAATCACAATGCATGAATACTCTTCAATTTAATATAAGAGGGAAATCATTAGCAAACTTCGGTTCTTGTACTTTCATTAGTAATACACGACTTTCTCATTGCTACTCTCATCCAGCCTCCTTCATTTTACTGTTGGGAAAACTACGCTGCAGAGAGGTCAGAGAGGCTTAGAGTTTACATGTTACGGCTGCCACCAAGATTCAGGACTCCTGGTTCTTTGTCCACTGTTCTTCCCACCATATCAACTCTGCCTTGTTAAGACAATTCTACAGCCAACACCAGGTTACAAATCCCTAGAAGTGAGTCTGGCTGTGATGAAGCTCCTTCCAGTGCAGGCCTCTCTGACCCTCCTTACATCCCTCTACAGCCCACCCACTTGATCCAGAGAGTGCACTTACATGTCTGTGAATCTTCTATTGAAGTGTAGGGTGGAGGCCACGTCCACCTGGAGAGGAGGATCCCGGACCACCTTGTACTGCAAGGGCTTACACTCCAGGCAGAGTGGGGTGTCTGCAACAGAGGTCAACATGGCCGCATCTATCTCCAAGTGCTCATCCAACGTGTAGATCTGGATGCCAAACACCTTCTCGTTCACATCCCGGAGTTTGATGGTCAGTGGGACATCACAGAAGACGTTCTGAGGGCCCAGGGAGATGTTCTTCCCACTGATAGTCAATAGTTTGATGTCATTGACAGCCCCACTGGAGTCCCAGTCAGTGGAGACAAAGGTCACCCAGATGGTCAAAGACTCAGGGACCAAGGGGTAGTGGAATTCCAGTTCAAGGTAGCAGCCTTGTGGCTCAGGGCAGGCTGGAGGGACTGTGTGTGGGTTGACAGCTGAATTTGGGCTCCAGGTGCGGACACTGGACTTACAGGGTTGTTCAACATCTGGATGACCTGTGGACAAGAGATGAGGGGATGAGTTCGTCCTCAGAGTTTCCTGCAGACCTCTGGTGACACTGGCCTGACTAGAACTCACAGAGAGGGTAAAAAGAAAGGGAAGATTCTCAGTGTCTTGGTGAATCTGCTGTGTGCACAGCACCCAGCTCATCCCCACACCTGCAATACAGATCTGGACAAATCACCAGACATCTGGTCAAAACTACATTCAAGTAAGTGTCTTATGATTGTGTCGGTGCCCAAACTGTCCCGCCTCATTTATTACTTGCAGGCTTTTCTGCCTCAGATGGAAAGAAAGAAGGAACACACATTTGCTGAACATTCACTATGTCCTCTGAACCTGTTTAATTCTTGCAAGGACCCATTTCTGAGATGAGGCAACTAAGGCTCAGAAATGTGGAGTGAACTAACCAGAGTCTCACAGCTTGAAGTGTAACAGTCAGCATTAGAGCCTAGTTTTGTCTCATCCTGAAGTTCCTCGTTGTTCTCCAGACTGAACGGAAGAGCCACTAAAATAAACTAGCATCCCTGTGGCACTGCCTTTGGTACAACCTGCTTGGAATGACAGAAGGGCCAGAAACCTCCAGTGAAGAGGAGGTAAGTAACGATAGCTTCTGCCCCTTGGGCTGAGTATTCTGGGAGGAAACTGTCTAGAACCATGGATGACAGAGCTGGAAGACAGCCCTGGAGCCATCTTATCTCTTTTCCTCCCCTTCTCCACATGAGGTCATTCCATACCACTGAGCTTCTCTGAGCTCTGTCCAGTCTGACTCAGGAAGGGGAGGGATGGTTAGGAGGGGGGAGAAGGAAGGAGAGATTCTTCTACTCTTTCCCCAGAGAGACGATGCCTCATCCCCACTGATCTCAGCCTGCAGCGACTTCTGAATTTTTCTCTGCTGAGATCATTAGTCCTAGACCCTCAGAGAGCTCTCCTTTGCACTGCTGAGAAAAGTAATCAGGACTCAATGCAGTGATTGGCTCTAATTTATTTAAGGGTGTCTAGCAAGAGATACACATCAGCTGGTGAGGGTAGGATGAAGGCTCTCAGGCTGTGCTATCAGCCACATTCTTTAGCATCAGTGGTTGATGGGGGGTGGAGATGCTGGACATTTCTAAAGCAGAAGGGAAAAAAAATCAATCTTTGCCCGAAAAGGTTTTGATAATGTTACAGCATAATAGGAATCACCACAGTATGAAAACTAGAAAGCCATTTTGGGTGGAAAAGCCATTCCAGTGAAAGCTGTAAATGCCTCCAATCTCCTTGCCTCTGCCCAGCCAAGGGAGAAGAGAGAAGATGTCCAGTGGAGATGGAAAAGAGAAGAGAAAAAGAGATGGGAGCAAGGGGGCTGGGGGGTGGAGAACAAGGAAAATTCAAAAGACTTTTTAGATATAACACATCAGAACAAGAAGAGATGGAGGTAACTACAAGATTCCCTCCACCTCTCCTTGGCCAGGTTCATTTATTACTTGCAGCAAATGCTGGATAGAAGAGACCGGTTGTTTAAGTCAAAGGCACAAACAAGACTCCCTACCTAGGCTGAAGCCTTTCTTCTTATCGATTCTCCAACCCAAAGAGTTCCTGATTCTTTTGACTCTGTGGGTTGTTGGTACTCCTGTATCACTTATTCATTCAAAAAGCTTTATTGAGGGCAGCGTTTGAATACATACAGAGCACATTCCCTAGCCATTTATTTATTTATCTGATTCTTATCAAAATCCTATAAGATAGTTGTCATTTGTGTCTCTGTTTTGTAGCTCTGTTTCACTCAATACCATATTCAGTCTTTAATACAGGGCCTGGCACATAAATAGTGAACACAGTGGACATTCAATAAATATTTGTTAAGTGAAGAATCTTCTATCTTGTTCAAATATGGAGCTACAAAAGAAAGTGAAGGCTCCATGGAGTACTGGAGCCTGCTGTGCCACGGCAGGTGCCAGTTGAACACCCCCCGCCCTCCACCATGGGCTCTCCTGGAACTGGCAAGTAATGGAGCAATCTTTCTCCCTTCCTCGGAGAAAATGACTGTCAGTGGTGGGAGCCACAGGAGAGCAAAGATGACAAATCTGTCTGGCTCACGCTTTCATCCCTGGTTCATTGTTAATCAACAGAGGGACCAAGTGCTTTCCAAGGGACAAGAAAGTGAGCTTGGTCGTTATGCTCAAGTAAGTAAACAGGACTAGAAATATTTGCAAAGTGTGTGCTATCAGAGACCAACTTTTAGATGTACAAAAGAGCCTCAAGGGGCACTGAGTCCAAGCCATCAAAAAAGCAGCAATCCCTTTAATAATACCAGTCTTCATGCACTGACCATTCTCTGTGTGCTGGGCACTGTGCCAGGCACATTACATGCCTCAGCTCTTTTCATCCTGGCCATAAGTCTATGACGTTGGTCTTATGAAACTCATTTTACGGAAGAGGAAACAGAGCCTGAGATGGTTAAGTAATTCCTTGGTGGGGAGTAGGATACTATGTGATACTGTTGGTCCAGGGATCATGCCAAGCTTTGAAGGAATGAAAGATGGGTTAAAATATCAACTATACAGTTTCTCACAGTATCACCTACTCTAATGATGCCTACCCGACAGGGGTGCTATAATACTCAAATGGGATGAGATATTTAACAGAGGAACATATTCACAAGTACATTAGCTCTGTTTTGAAACATAAGGAAGAATTAACAAGGGAAAGCTTGGGAAAAGGAGATATTCCAAGCAAAGAGAACAGTTGAGAGAGAATGTGAAATAAGATGACTGTGGTTTTGAGTGCAACGGGAAAGCAGTAAGTGGTGGTAAGGCTGGCATACTAAGCCGAACCCAGATTATGAACGGTCTTGTACATCACTTTAAGGAAACTGAACTTTATGCTGAGAGAGCTTGGGAGCTACTGAAGAATTTGAAGCAAGCAAATGAAAGCTGTCTTTCAGAAAAACCAATGTTTGGAGTCACAGATACTCTCCATCCATCCATCCAGGGAATAATTGTTGACTGTCTGGTCTGTGTCCAGTGTTAGGCTATAGTCACTGGAAAAACAGGTTTTGCAGACATGGTCTCTGCCCTCATGGAGCTTCTAGTCCAGTGAAAACAGTTAAGAAACTGCTGTACTAATTCAGATAATACACAACTGCTGCTTGTACAAAGGGAACATCAGAGATGAGGACAAATCAGTGTCCCTACGGAAGAAAAATGGATGCAGCTGGGAAACTAATTGGATGTGTGGTGATAAATCTGGGAGAAGGGTTGAGAAAAGTAAAGGGAAGGGAAGGGAAGGGG